CTATTTGTTTTAGATAGCGGTGGCATTTTTGAAAAAAATGTTGCCTATCTAAAGGAAAGTGATCAATTCACAAATTCCAAATATAAGAAAGGTACTTGTTTCTTTTTAGTTAATCTCATTTTTATTTTAATTGAAAATCCATACGTTACTGAAGGTAACCATACTATTCTTGATTTTCTACCTATATTTGGTTTAGAATGATAATTAATTAAAACACCATTTAAAAGCGAAATTAATTTCAAATTCTGGATTTAATTAGTAATATATCATTCTTTTATGCTATTTGAAATAAAAAATATATACAAAATAATATTTTTTTTTTACTGAAATACAATATGCCGACTACTGGCAAATAGACATGCCGAGCATTGGAAAATGGTGCCGACTACTGGCAAAAAACTACTATTTTAGTAAAATTGCATATTTTGCCAATTTAATAAAAACAAATTAAATTTTTGTTTGTTATTTCGAAAACTAAACAAAATTTGAAATCTGAACAACTTTATTTCTCTGCAATTGAAAGATTTCACTCAGAATGTTGAAAGATTGGAAAATCGAAAATCCTAAAGGTGCCGACTACTGGTACACTTACCCTATACAAAATTTTCTAGGTTATTTACATTGTGCATCTTAAGGAAAAGTAAATTTTTTTTTTTTGACTAGGATCGTGTCCAAATTTGAAAAAATGAACTTTTTTGGCCTAGAATCATTTTTAAATTCGAAAAAGTAAAATTTTTCCTGTCAAAAAAAATTAATTTATTTTATAAGGACTTCAATGAAAAAATTCGGTACACTAAGGGTTAGAAATATTTTTAAAAGCTTTTCTGACTGAGAGATCTAATTTTCCGAATATTAAAAAAAAGTACGGATCAAGAATGGGGAATATTTCTAATATACATTGGCTGAAGGTAAATCTATCGGCAAAAACATATAGGGTATATAAATTATTTACTAAAAAAATAAATCATCAAGAGTCCATTGTATGAGAAGGGATCCAATTCCAACAAAATACGTTATCTATAAACAACCTGTTTTTATTTAGTCCCACATTACAATATTTTTATTACTTCCCATTTGATATCATCAAGCTACCCAGGTACACACCTGTTTAAGCCTTGTGGCAATAAAATCAATGCAAAACAGAACTATTTTCCAAATCGAATTTGAGTCCAACAGTATTCGTAACGAACCATCGCTTAGCGAAGCGAAACCACAACACCCCCAAGCTATTGGGAGAAGAGTTTTGAATTTTGCATTGAATTTTTTATAAGCGAATGTGGCCAAACTGCAAAAAAAAAAAAAAAAACAACAACGCAACACGTAAAGAGTTCAATAAAATATGAAAAATTTTTTTGCTTCTACCGTAAGGAGAGGTCGTCGGAGAGAGGGTGTCACAAAATTATACGTTTCCAAAGAAAACGACATTTAAATATGTACGTGAATGTCATGCTGTATAGCAATTTTCCTGTTTGCATCGCTGCATATGGAATTATGATTTTGTACAAAGTTTACATAAATAAATATTGGAACTTTTCTTTCTTTCCATCCGCTTTTGATCGTTTATAAAGTTTAACATTTAAATGTGGTGTTGGCCAATGGGAAGTCAAATGTTGAAAAAGAATTTATAATAAATATCATCGGAATTTGTAGGCATATTGAATCGAAGTTTAGTATGCTTACGAGCAAAACCTAACATCGAATGTTGAATTTCTAATTTCTCTTCGAAAATATTCTAAATTTAAGGAAAAAAATGTAGAAAGTATCAAAAAATTTAATTTGAAGACCTTGAAATTTTGCAATTGTTTCAAGAATCGACGAAAAATGGTTCCCTGTCATGTATACTAAATATTTGTCACATCTTTAAGACCTATCAATATTGACAATTTCTTCGAAGCAGCAACAATAAATAACTACTCCGACAGATGTGTACCCTCAGCCAATGTCCTATTATTTAAATACTTTTGACTTCTGTTATGATTATTCAAATTGTAGATTCTATATGGAGTAGGTTCCGAAATAATGAGCCAATATTGTCAATTTCGTATCGGTGCTAAATAAATATGATATAAATATTACGAAGTTTCAGGTTTGGACTATATTGGGTACATCCTTCACTTTTAATGAGATTTGTGATAATTTTTAGAAAATTTTAAAATGTGCGTGAGGAACCAGATGTAGTCGACCCAAGTATTCCATTTTCGTACTACTTCTTATGCAGATAAAACTATTGGTATGGACAAAAGAAAATCGAATATTTTTATCCAATTCTATTAGAACTCATCAGGTTTCTGGTTGACAGAAATATTCAGATATAACAAGTTTTAAGGAATCGCTGGCTTGTTTTACAAGTTATGACAGATGTAAGAATTGACAATTGTGAACCTTTGTACTTGATGGAGTGGACCGATATTGTCCATTTTCTCACCTGACCTAGCACCTAGCAAATATAAGGATTTGAAAAGATGGAGCAAAAGTGTATAATCGCTCCTTTTTCTGAGCAATATAAATTTTTTTTTGAAATTTTTGACCTTTTGTGGTGGAGGTACCAGAAGGTGTGGACCGATTCAAATTCATTGTGTTAATAAAAATATTGTGTTGTGTGTAATTTGATTTTTTTTTTTTTTGAAAATTTCGACCGTATGTTTGGGAGGTACCAGAAGTGGGCCGATATTGCCCATCTCCGAACTCGATCTAAGTTTGGTTACAATATTACGACAAGTTTGAACCAAATCGGATACTTCTTTCGAAAATTATCGTGCTCATCGACATCCAAATGTCCTGAAACGGATTTGGTCTATAGTCTACAACCGTTATTTCGATGGGGGACGTTTTGGCCCTATCAAATGATTTATACATGAGGTATAAAAACCAATAGACAGATCAGTAGTGGGATTCTCTAAGTCATTAATTGAGTTACCGACAAAAATCGGTAACTTTAAAATCAATATTTTTGATATGAAAAAGAAGTTAAAGTTCACAACATCGATCTACCGATACTTATATACGACTACTTTGATTTCGTCGCTAGCTTACCGAAAAATTGCATTTTAAGTTCACCGACTTTTGTCGGTAACTCAAAAAATGAGTTAGAGAATTCCACTACAGAAAGTATTTTTTTTTTTTTTTTTTTTTGAAAAAATATTCTTAAAAATTTTTTTAATAGTTTTTCGTAAATGAAAAAAATATTGTTATAAAACGACTTATATAAAAATTAATTTTTAGTCAGCCGACGATTTAAGCCCAGGAAGATTTTATAAAATTATCTTTAAAAAATTGGCAAGTTTTACATAGCCCAAAAAGTATTTTAAAAATAACCGCCATTCTTGACCCGGATTTTTGAAAAATATTAAGAAATATATCCAACCCTTACTGCACCTAATTTTTCCCCTTGAAGTCCTTACAAAACATGTTCTTAAAAATTCAAAAATCCACAAATTTTTCATGGAAAATGTTCTATTTTTTCTTTGGAAGTACTTAAAAAATTTGGTCAGCCTTGAAAACAAATTTGGAACGTGTACGATTATAATCCAATTTTTTTAAAATTCGTCAATATTTGTAAAAAATCCGCGATTTTAACCGAAAATTAAAAAAGTTAATTAAAAAAAAAAATTAATATTTTAACCCATTTCGGACAGAAGTGGACTAATATGCACCGTTTTCTCACTGAACCGGTTTTCAAGTTTGGGATCAATCGTGGTCTTCGCTCTCTTACACATGGCTTTTGATGTTTACAATATTTAGCAGTTTTTTTTTTTTTTTTTGAGGTTCCAAAATTATTGGCATTTGCTAAGAATGAAGAAAATCGGACAATAGTTTTACATTTTATGGGAAAATAATTTTTTCCCCTTGTATGTAGGTTACTTTATCATCTAAAAAGAAGCGTAATAGAAATTATTTATTGTAACATGTTGAAGAATATTGGGTTCTCCCAGATTTTCATGTGAAATACATGACTCTTTTTTAATTATTTCGAATTTTATCTGGGATTAGGAAGCAGAAGGTCTTGACCGATATACATATGTAGGTATAAGGACGAAAGAATAAAAATATAGGTTTGGTGTAAAAAGTTTGTGGTTATTGTTGTCAGCATTCATGTTGACTACCAGCGGATAAAAGCTTGCATATATTCACCATACATATAGGTTTATGTCTACACTAATAATATTGATGAAACATGGAGTTAAAGGTATAAAAGAATAAAGCTTCTGTAACAAACGAATGTATTAATGGTTGGTGTCATTCTTAGGCGACCCATTTGCTCTTATCATAAAAAATATTGAAGTATTTAAATTTTTTGTTCTTGCGTTCCTATAATATTGCCATATTTACACTAAATAATGACATTTTCGTAGCCCACCAAATAGTACGGATCGGAAACAATCGATTTCGGATTACGGAATTCAAACCATTCCGATTTGATTATGTGGCTTGTCTGTATGTATTCCATCAAATTGAATGAGGAAAGTATTGACTATTTTGCAACAACAGAAAGGTAGTTTGTTTCTTCAACTCTATTTTAATTCAAATCCCTTGTTATACAATCTACCATAATATGTAGCTGCCCAAACATAGCTGTTTTTTTTACCGGCTGGCTTTTATTTCTTAAATAAAGTCCTGGAAAATTAAATATTTATTTTTTATTATTATTTTTTTTTTTTTTTTTTAGATCCAATATTTCACTAAATTTTGCTTAGGTAGGAGATCCTAAAAAGCCATGGTTACGACCAAAATGAGCCTCATCGAAATAACGGTTTCACACTCTTTAGGATTTCGCACGCTAACTCTCGCGGAGTGTATCCGATTTGGAACAAACTTGGTACATCGTTTTTTTTTTACCAAAATTAGATCAAGTTCAATGTTGGTCAAAATCGGTCCAACTGTTCTGCAACCTTACCCACATTTTGGCAAAGAAAATCTGAATCTGATGAGGACCAAAATCGGTTCACTTCTGTTAAATATTTTCTAGTAATTTATTTAGATTTTTTGTACGCGTTTATTTATTTATTTTTTTTTATTTATTATGTTTTTTCCGAATCTTCTCCAAGACCATTGGTATATTTTGAAATCTATTCATGGAGAAAAATTGCAGGCCATAAACTTCAACTTCATCACTACTCAAAATCGAATCAATCATTTCGACTGCTCTCCGTACAGCATATTCTGTAAATTGTCCCTCTCCAAGGTCATGGTGTCGATGATATTCTTGCAGATCTTCCGATGGCATATGGATTTTAGTTAATCGCAATATCGTCTCTAACATTCGCAGATTATCGGGAACAAAAATACCCACTAATATGGGGATTTTTATATTTCTGGATCGGCAGTTTTTGATGTAGTCAATGATGGGTCTGGATGAAAAACAAATTTGTGTTATTATGAAATCTGCACCGGCCACAACCTGAAATGAAAGCAGAAAATAAGCAAAACAAACAATTTAATTATTGACCATTTATAAAGCTTAATTAAACACGGTGTGACACAATGACGAACGAAAGCAAAAAAAAAATCACAAATCAGAGCGCCTTAATCGGAGATGCTATTGGGGGATTTTTTTCGTTAGAATGAGTTTTGTTGATTTCTTTTTAGTAAAGCAAAGCGTGACATTGTGCATTTAAGGGGCATTTAAGTTGTTTTTCATTGATTTTCCTAAGAAGAGTTTATATGCAGATTAAAGTGCAAGATTTTATGGTTGATGATGGCCCACATTTTTGGTAAACCGATTAACTAAACGGAACCTCATTTTTCATGTTTGTATTTTCTTATAAGGGTTCTAAAGTTAAATGGATATTTCAGACTATTTAAAGAAATAATATTTATATGTCATAATTTATGTATGGTACTGTCATTATACCCTCAGCCATATTGCTAGAGAGGGTATGTATCATTTGATACGGCCAAAACGTGCCTCATCGAAATAACGGTTTTAGACCCCAGATCTCTTTGAACCAAATCCATTTCAGGACATTTGAAGTCGATCTTGCAATGTCCGTCCGTCTGTCTGACTGATGCGCCCGATAACTCTTGAAGGGGGTATCCGATTTGATCCAAACATCGGAATATTATTATCAAAATTAAATCGAATTCGGAGATGGGCAATATTGGTCCACCACAACTGGAACCTCCCCCACAAAAGTTCGAAATTTTCAAAAATGTATTTTACTGAGAATGGATAATCCGATTTGACTCCAACTTTGCAAATCCTAATATTTGCATCAGCGCTAGGTCAGGTGCGAAAATGGACAAGTACGTCTTCCACAAAGCGTCAACATTTTGAATAATTATAACACTTATAAAATGTGATGTAAGTGTCCGATTGTCTTCAAATTACACACATCACAATATTATGTAGTAACCAAAGGTCTGGTGTGAAAATGGAATATATCTGAATATATGAATATCCAAGATACTTATATAATGCGAAATTAACGTATGATTCCATTCAGACTTGGTACATCTCAATATTTCCATCAACACAAGATCTGTTATAAAGATGGTCGAGATCGGACCATTTCTTCTGGTACCTCCCCCTTAAAGGGTCAAAGTTTTTAATAACCAAAACGATTATAATATCCGAAATAAGCATCCGGTTCTCCTCATATTTCACACATCCCATTATTTATACTAACACTAGATTTGATGTGAAGAAGGGATATAGCTGTCCACTCCTTCTGGTTCACTCCTTCTCCCCCACAAACGGGCAAAATTTTGAATATCCATGAAGCTAATAAAATGCGAAATTAAAATCCGACTCCATTCAGATTTGGTATATCTCAATACAGGGTTGCCCATATTCGACGGACCCATGACTCTTTCGGCCCATTCCAAACGACGAGGCTTGTCCGCAGGCAACATTCTTTGCGTCAATTGAATTTTGTACGGGAACAAATGCAAATCAATGCGAATAATCCGTTGTAAAGTGGACCGAGCCAGGCCCAACTGCTGAGAACGGCGTTTTTGGGATGTTCTTGGGGACCTCTCAACACTGGCTCGTACGGCAGCGATATTCTCGGCCGATCGCCTTGGTCGACTTTTATTTGGCCTCTTCGGATTAGAAAGAGCCTTACCAGTCGAAAATTTTTCGTATAAACGTTTAATGGTGTTCTTAGAAGGCGCACTTCTCACATTTTTTAATGTTTTAAAAGCACGTTGAGTTTTCACAATTGACTTCTTCTGTAAATTTCAACTATTTCAGAGCGCTCGCGTGGCGTGTATTGGTTCATGGTAAAAATCTGCTTGGACTGACGCTTCAAACGCGGGTATGTCATTAAGCGATGTGACATCTCTGTCAAAAGTTATGACGTTGCCAGATGGGTCCGTCGAATATGAACAATCCTATATATCCATCAAAACAAAATCAGTTATAAAGATGGTAGAAATCGGACTGTTTATTCTGGTACCTCTCCCACATAGGGTTCAAGATTTTGAAAAACAAAACGCTCGAAGAAAGCGAAATAAGCATCCAACTCTCTTCAAATTTCACTCATACAAACATTTTTGCTAATACAAGATCTGTTGTGAAGGTGATATATATCTGCGAACTCCTTCTGGTATCTCACCCACTAAGGGTCACAATTTGCGATACTTTTATCTATCATAACTTGCGAAACAAGTCAGCGATTCTTTCTTACTTGCTATATCTAAATATTTCTCTCAGCCAGGAACCTGAGAAGAATATGGATTTTATGATTTTGCATAAAATTGGATATAAATGTTTGATTTTCTTGTAATACCATACCAGTATTTGTATGAAGTATGAAAATGGAATACTTCAGTCGACTATATCTCGTACATCACGCACATTTTAACATTTTCTAAACATTTACATATCTCCATAGTTTAAACCTGCCACGTCGCAATATCTATATCATATTTATTTATGTCGATTAGGAAATGGACAATATTGGTCCATCCCTTCGGAAATTTTCAAAATAATTGCATCAGTACCTAATATTTGCATCAGTACTAGATGTGAGAAAATGGACAGTACCTCAAGTACCTCCCCCATAAAATGTGAAGTAAGACTCCGATTGTCTATTTGTCTCATTTGAATAATCGTAACAGAAGTCAAAAAAATATGTATTTAAATTATCGAGCATTGGCTGATGGTATTCATCTGTCTGCAAAACCGAATGATACTTTTTAACCTGTTTTTGTTTTAATAAATGATATAGCTTTTATTGATTGATTAAACGCACAGTTATTTATCCTTACCTTTTTCTCTAAATTTCCCAAGTCTTCTTCTATTGATTTACATTCCGGATGACCCTCAGGATAGCCAGCTACGCCAATGCTTATTGAATCTAAACAGAGACAATTAAAAGATGATAAGAAAACATTTTATTATTTATTTACGAATTCTAAATGCAATTGATATATACAATACAGTGGAACTCGGTTATAATGACTGAGAATAAAATAAATTATTTGAAAATATGTTGATGTCTTATTTTGGGTGAAACGATTAACTCTATCCTCGAAAAAAAAATAGTGAACAAATTGACCTCGAAATTTTTAACCCTCAAAGGGGCCTTTGGTCTGTTTTTTTTCTAATATGGTTAAAAACTCTCTTTAAACGGGATCGTAACAAATCAAACTATTCTACAAAATTATTTGTCATAAAATTCTACTAAAGGTCCTAAAAGACGTGAAGAGCCTACATTTTATCTAAACTCAAGGAATTCATACGTACTAGAAACGTGCCAGGTTTGGACTATATTCGCTACTTCCTTGAAAGATATTTGAGAATTTTTAAAAAATTTTAGAATGTGCGTGAGGTACCAGATATAGTCGACCGGAGTATTAAATTTTCACACTACTAATACAGATAAAAATAGTGGTATGGGCAAAATTATAAACAACCAAACTTATATCTAATCTTATACGAAGTCATAAATTCCATATTCATCTCAGGTTTCGGGTTGAGAGAAATATGTAGATAGGGCAAGTTGGAAAGAATCGCTGACTTGTTCCGCAAGTTATGACAGATAAAAGTATCGAAAATTGTGACCCTTTGTTGGTAAGGTATCAGAAGGTGTTCACAGATATATATCATCTTCACAACAGCTTTCGTGTTAGCAAAAATGTTTGTATGTGTGAAATTTGAAGAGACTTGGATCTTTCGAGCGTTTTGTTATTCAAAATCTTGAAACATTTATGGGTGAGGCACCAGAAAAAATGGTCCGATCTCAACCATCTTTATAACAAATCTTGTGTTGATGGAAATATTGTGATGCACCATGTCTGTACGGAATTGTATATTAATTTCGTGTTTTATGAGCTTCATGAATTTTCAAAATTTTGACCTATTGTGGAGGAGGTACCAGAAGGAGCGGATCGATATATCCTATCTTCACAGCAAATCTTGTGTTTGTAGAAATAATGGGATGTGCGAAATATGAAATTAGCCGGATGCTTACTTCGGATTTTATAATCGTTTTGGTTACTTAAAACTTAGATCCTTTTTAGGGGCGGTACCAGAAAGAATGGTCCGATCTCTACCATATTTATAACAGATCTTGTGTTTATAGAAATATTGATTTCTCGTTTTTTGAGCTTCATGGATACAATTTTGACCCTTTGTGGGGGAGGTACTTGATGGAATATTGTCCATGTTCTCACCTGACCTAGCACTAATGCAAATATTAGGATATGCAAAGTTGGAAAAAATCGTATTACGCTAAGTCTTTCTGTGCAGTAAAACATTTTTTTTAATCGACCTTTTTGTGGGGAGGTACCAGAAGAAGTGGACCGATATCGTCGATCTCCGAACTCGATCTCAGTTTGATAATAATATTACGATTTACCAAGTTTGGAACAAATCGAATACTTCCTTCAAGAGTTATCGTGCGCACCAGACAGACACACAGACGGACGGACATAGCTAGATCCACTCCAAACGTCCTGAAATGGATATGGTTCAAAGAGACCTAGGGTCTAAACCGTTATTTCGATGAGGCACATTTTAGCCGTATCAAATTATATATACCCTCTGAGGAAATAGGCTGTAGTACCGATTCCGAATTTCAAATACGACATAAAAAAATTCCGGTGAAAAAATGTCGTTAACATCATCAAAATACCGAATAAAGGGAGGTATCGCTGTATGTAGGCTACACGAAAACGTGGACTTCCATATGCAATTTTTGTCATATACGGGCTATACGAAGTCGCGGACCCATAACTTCCCCAAATACGAAATTTAAAATAATTCAGGTAAATAATGTCGCTAAAATCATCAAACTACCGAATATTGGGAGGTACCGTTATATTGAGGCTATGCGAAGACGTGGACCTACATAAGTAATTCAGGTGAATGTTTACAAAGATTAGTATTAAACCTGTTCGACTGTACAACCAAAAAATAATTCTCCACTAGAATCTCTTATCATATTTTAGAATATTTTGTTTACATGTAACTACGATTGTCAATTGTCCCGTTATAAAAACAAATATCAAATTTTTTTCACTTACCACCCCGTATTCTTCGAATTGCCTCCACCAATTCGGATGAATGCTGATACCGCTGATCCTTATCAAAAAAATCTCCTCGTATAGAGAGAACATTGGGAAAATTCATATTCAAAAATTCTCTCAGTCTTGTCTCGGTCAGACAATAACATGACAAGTGTGGCATTACTCTCACATGTCGATTTAGTTTGTTGGCCAAACGAATGGCTTCTACCTCGTTGAGATTTTCTATATTGCAATAGTCCATACCCAGCCATACAATGGAGGTGAACAGTGGCAGCAGAGGTCCCAGAGCATTGTAATCCAACCAATAGTTGGGATTGTAGGTGTGTGCCAAAATTTCCAGACCATAAAAGAATTCTCTGTTACGTATCTTCTCGTTGATCACATTTTTTAGTTGTCTCTGATCAGCTGTTGTTGTTGTCAGCGTCTCTTCGTAGTAGGACAGTCTTTGTTGCTCTTCGGTGAATTGTATGTTGATCTCATAGTGGTTGGTAGCATTTTTTGGAGCTGGCAGTATATGGGCACCCTGAGCAGTCGCAGTTGATCCAGGCGTCCCCAGGGTTGTACTTGAAATATTGTTGCTAATCATTGTTGTGGAAATTTTTCCCTTCTGCATTTGCTGTGTCGAGAATTTAATTGCAATATGCGTGTTGTTTATCACCTTCGTAATCACGATCAGCTGAGCGCGACTTCGTCTTCTATGACTACCAATTAATGTGCTTGCACAAATCATACTAAATACGCAAACCGGAATAAACAGTCTACATATACGTTAATTTGCTGCCCCAAAGCTCCTCATATCGTGGCTAAGCTTTCTATTACTTGCACTTCAATCAAATGGCAAACTAAATACCACGAGGAGAGACATAGTGGTATGGATTTTTGGCGGGACATTTTTATACCCTACAACACTATGTGTTGGGGGTATTATAAGTTTGATTGGGCCAAAAATTATGTAACACCTCGAAATATTGGTTTCCCACATAGGAAAGTATATATGGATCTTCCTAGCTCGCCGAGCTGAGTCGATCTAGCTATGTATGTCCGTCCGTCCGTCTGTCCGTCTGTCCGTCTGTCCGTCTGTCCATGTTAATTTGTAATCACTCTACAGGTCGCAATTATGGCCCGATCTTCACGAAATTTGGAATGGAGGTGGGGCTAGGGTCAGAATAGAACCCTATTTCTTTTGGAGATGATCGCATAATATTTAGGGGTTGAAATGGACCAAATACTGAAAAATTTCTTGATTTTCCAGTTGCTCTACAGGTCGCAGTTATAGACCGATCGACACGGAATTTGGCATGTAGCTAGAGTTTAGGGCGGGGAAGAAGCCTACTAATTTGGGTGGTCATCGGATAATATTTAGAGGGAAAAATAGACCATATCTTTTGTGTTGAAAAAATGCAAAATTTTTCATTAAACCGCGAATATATTAAATCCCGGCGAACTCACAAAGCCATGACAAGGTTACTTCTGACCTTTACATTGATGTTAACATCCATCAAATCGGATATATAGCAAAATATGTGCGATATATATGTCTATCAAAGAAGATATGCTTGAAAGATCTCTTATATGTCGAGAACGGCTGAACTGATTTCGACAGTTCTCATTAATTCAGAATTGCCTCTTGGCAAGAAAGAAAAAACGTCTAAAAAAATCGCATAAAAATATCTCTCTAAAGATGAAAATATTGATTTTGTAAAATTTTCTCATATTTTTTAAATTTTGTCATATTTTTGGCATATTTTAATTTTGAATTAAACATTTGGTAATATTTCTACAGCTAACAAAACTAAGTAGTTAGGGTATCATGATATCATATACAGATCGCATTTATGGCCCGATCCTTACGAAATTTTGCATGGGAATAAGATGAGGGTCAGAATAGAAGCCTACTCTTTTTGGAGATGATCGACATATATTTAGGGGTAGAAATGGACCAAAAAACTGCAAAATTGTCAGCAGGTCGTAATTATCGCCCGACCCTCACGCACATTTGAATGGAGGTTACCGGACATTGCAAAAACCAAGCAGTTTTGGATGGCCATCCAAAAATATTCAATGTGTGAAATGGTTTGCCAACTTTTGTAGACAAAATACGAAAATGACCATTCCAGTGACTTTTTGGAGAATTCAGAAATAAAGGAAAGACGCACTTCTGACTATTTCGTTAACGCTGATTTCGTTGAAAAATATAGTCAAATGTCTGTATCTCATATAGATGCGTTTCAGTCAAAAACCAATAATAAATGTTAATCATTTGCCACTTCGGAGAGATTATAGGTCTTTGGGAAATATTGGTTTAAGTGCAACATCTACCAATAAATTGAAAATGAGCAAATTCGTTTAAGTTGCTATTATTCGAAAATTAGAGAACGAAACCTGATGGTTTTCTTTTATTATTTGTCACAATATCTTGTGGAATTCTTTCGAGTATCTCGCCTATATAAACTGTATCGTTTATTATAGTGTTGTAGGGTATTCAACGGTCGGCCCCGCTCGACTGTAGCCTTTGCTTACTTGTTTATTTGTAAATAATTACTGGAAATGGTTGTAAACAATTTTACTTCACAAGTTTTGATCTTTAGCGTAAAATAAGAAAAACTTACTTAGTCATGGTGTTTTTCAAAATTTCTAATTTCTTTGAAAGAAATCCCATTTAAACTTTCGGACATGGAGATGTGTGGTTTTTTAATATTTATCTTAATTTAATGGGAATCCCCTGTACCAAATTGACATCAGAGGTGTAAAGTTGAAAAAAATAATAATAATATTGATCAGGTTTAGAAAATTTGATGCAAAATACACAAAGCCCGGTTTAATCTTGTAGATTGTGGAATAGAAAAAAAAATTACAATGAAATAACAATTAAACTCGACCTAGCCGATATTGAAGGCCGGAGTCTTAAAATATCGAAAATCATTAGGTTCCCTTATACGGAAACTCTACCAAATAGTGGATGTGTCTTGAAAATATATAAATAATAGGCAGAAATCCGTTGCAGCATTCAGTTCATTTATTTAGAAATTACCCAAGAAAACTTGGAAATACCGAAAAGTATGTACTAATACAGGGTGAGATGAAAAAAACTGCATCCAATTTCAGACAGCTGCCATTACTAAACCACTCGTCTGACAGCTGCTAAAATTATTCCTGTAACAGGAAATTATACAGTTTACAAGCATACAAAAACAATTTGGTGAGAATTTTCCAGAAAAAAAGTTATTCGTTATGGAATTCAAGCGTGATATTGTGAGTTCATTATATTTGGCTGGAAAACCACAAGTGGCTATTGTTAGAGCACTCCAGCATTTAAATGTGAATAAATCTTTTGTGTCTTTTAACATCGCTCGTTACAGTGATACTGGTAACGTAGCCCGACGTCGAGGAAGTGGACGGAAGAAAACAGCAACATCAGCAGAAATGGCATCAGAATAAATGCCGAATATTATCGCGAAAATATTCTGGAGGGTGCATTAAAGCCTTGGGCACGCATACATTTTGGCCGCAGACCTTGGACAATTCAACAGGACACAGCACCATCGTACTCAGCACGCGCAACCCAAGAATGGGTACAAAATGAGGTTCCTCGCTTCATTTCCAGCGCCACCAAAATCTCCGGTTACCAATCCGTTGGACTATTGTGTCTGGAGTATTTTGAAAAGCAAGGTTGTTACTAAAAAAATACCAAAGTGTCGATCACCTCAAGCAAGCGCTTTGGCAGGAATGGGACAAAATACCGCAGAGCAACATTCGGGCAGCGTGTGACGTCTCCATTGGCCATAATTCGTACCAAAGGTGACCAATCGGAAAAAATCTAAACTTATTCTAAAATTTGATGCTATTTCCGACATTTTTTGCTTTCATTCATTCATTCAGTAAAAATTATGGCGGTTGACTTTGTTGCAGTTTTTTATCTCACCCTGTTCTTTCCTAACACTCACAATGATCCAAATTTAGTACCATTTAGTATATAACAAAATTTTGAGACAGATACCTCAGTATCAAAATTCGAAAAATGAAAATGAGGAATTCCAGCTCTGTCCTTCACCCAATACAAAATTTAGCACCAATTCTACTTTTCGAACAATTATTAAATTTAAACCACCTTCATATCTCAATTCCCTATATCAACAAAGATTTCAATACCAAATTTAGAGATATCAGCCCTTTCGACTTACCCAATACCAAATTTAGTAGCATTTAGTACTTTTCCTTAAAAATACAAAACGCATTTCCATACTACCAACAAATATCAAACCCAGATACCATCAGTAATCGAAATATCAAATTGCAGTATTTTATCTAATCCCCTTCACCCAATACCAAATTTAGTACCATTGAGTTCTTTTCGTACCAATATAGTATACATTTCCGAGACCAACTCCATGTGTCCAGGCCACATAAACGTGAACAGCGACCGTAATACCAAATTTCAGATTTATTATTATTTAGATTTTAGATTCAAGAACTTTATGTTTACCCAATACCAAATTGCACACACATATGATACTATTTAGTACATTTCGGGTACTTTTGATACACATTTCAAAACGACCTATTTATCACCAACGAATCCAAAATTTCGAAATTCCAGCTTCACACTTAGTACACATTTCCAAAACCATTTTCACATATAAAACTTACTTTCCAACGTTGATTCTCATACCAAATTTTAAGTTTTTAACTCTATCCGTTCACATAATACCAAAATGTACCATTTTAGAAGTTTAGTAACATTTCAGAACTTTTCTTAACCTTAAGTTTGAATTTCCAAATAACCTTTGGCGGATCTATCCTGCTGTGAATCATTCCAAATGTCAGAATTCTAGCTCATTCCGTTTGTCTAATACAAACTATCAACTTTTTAGTACATTTTAGTACTTATCGTACCCTCGCACGCCTACGAGCCAAGACTGACCCTCGTGCAAATTTTCAAGATTCTAACTTCAGCCGTTTCGCCTGGGCGTTAATTCTATGAATATGGCGATGTAAACATTCATAACCCCGATAAACGTATCTTCTACTTTTTGCTCTATACTTGATTGTTCCTGTAATTATTAAAAAAAAGTTGATTTTTTTATAATATCGTCGGCCCCGCCCGGAGTTTGTCTGTTCTAATAGGTTTTCAAACTCGTTTTCCTTCTATAACTTGAATAGTATATCACCCACGAACTAGCCACTAATTTTGATGGACTTATCCGCATCAATTGCATTAAATAATTATTTACTATTTATTTCTACTTGGATCCAATTCTGATCACATTTTTTCTTTCCATTTCAGTTAGACGTATGACGAAAAATTTGAATAACGAGGACGGGAATAAATTGTTGAATCATCTCTTTTGAAATCACCTCATGTGTGTTTTGAATTAATATATGTACTGAAATTTTGAAAAATGTTTAAATAAATAAAAAAATTGACAAAAAAATAAATTAATAATAATTAATAAAAACTTTTTTTGAGTTTTGTCTTAAGGCTTTTTATTGGAGAGCTGGCTATTGTTTTTGTGCGCCTAAAAGCAGATATGGTTTTCTGTTTCTTTCCAACTGATTTTTAAAATGGTTGGTAACACTGGCAACGACACGAATATAGTGCCATCTATTGAAACACATGATCTCTGGAGGACAAAATTGTTGAAAATGAATCTTTTTTCTCATGTCATTAACAGTGGAACCTCAGTATAATACTTTTTGCCGTTTTCAATGAAATTTCGAATTTAAATACATGTTTTACTAATGTTAAGTATTATTACTTCTTAACTAAACAAAATTGATTATTACAAGCAAGAAATTTCGATATTTCTTTTGGAAATTGTTGGAAAAGATCTGCACATAAATAATTGCATATACGAGGGGTGTTGTTTCCCAGAAAA